GACCGCTTCTCGGTCGTAAGGGTCCGGCCTGCCTCCACCAAAAGTCCACCTGCTGCTGTGGCGGTTGCTGCATCGCCAGCACGTCACGCATCATCGACGACAAGATGCCTGCCCACTGTACATTCACGATTCGCTGATTCATGATTCAATTCCTAGCAATTACACCGCCGGTCATGCCATGCAGAGCCGTCGACTCGTAAGGTGGAGGCGTGTTTTCACCTCAAAATCGGGTAGGTACAGTAATTCCTCCCGTCTTCCGCCAACTTCCATGTATTCGCCGAACCTCCACTCAGACTCGACCGCGTCGCGCCAGCTGAGTGCATATCGTGGCTTGCCGTGCGAGAGAAAGAAGCCTGGGAAAGCGAATCACGTGGGTCTTGTTCAGATGACACGAGCCGCTCGCTATCCAGCAATTAATCTGAATCAAGAATCTGAATCGGAATTCACGATTTTGAGTCAAGAGTTTTGGAGTCATATAGTGTGGTTCGGATGATGGAAGGTCCGCGCTGCCGAGCGTCAAGCTAGGCGACCCGGTCGGCATGTTTTTGAGCTCACTCAATTGGAAGTGAAATTGTTGCATTCAGTTATAAGAGTCGCGGCAATGTGTGAACGAGACGCACCGGCGGCAGGCGGTGTGACTTGTGCAATCGTGACAAAAGAGCCCTTTCCTTAAGCGGGGTTGGGCCATCGAGCGATCCAAGCCGTGCTCATCCCCATGACGAGGTAACCTCTGCTTACGTCCGTCCGCCCTTTGAGGCTCTCAGGGAAAGCCGAGGGGTGACATGCGCCGTGATGCCAATCGTGAATGGAGAAAAGGATGCTGAAATGGCAATTTGAGGTATGCGATGATGATCGCATTGCATTCAAGATTTACGACTGGGAATTCTGATTGGCTGCTTTAAAGCAATGCCCTCGTCCACGCAAAGCCGAACAACTTCTCTCCTGAATCACATTCAAAATTGTCATCATTGACGATTCAACAAAGGAAAGAGGAGGCGCGTGCGACCGACTGCGGAATATATGGACCCCGCACTCGCTACATATTATTACAGCGGGTGCTGCTCTCACGTTTGCTGCTGGATCACAACGCTGACACCGGTAGCAATGGCGCGGCGAGCAGCGGGCATGTGCAGCGGCCCCACCTTGGCCTTTCTGCATATCAGCGACAAGTGCTGTAAGCCCTCTACGTGGAGCTGAAGTAGCGGGCGGGGGAGCAAGAGCAGCGTCGGTGCGGACCTGCCTCCCCCCGCCTGTGGTTGGTCAACCCTTGTAGGTGATGGACAGCCATCATCGCTGAGGCTCGGCCTCGG